TATTATTTGATAGTTTTTTATTAAAATTAATTAATAAATCAAGATTTTATGCTACCACTAAATGTACCATAAAAGTTCCACAAGAAACGATATTTAGTATATTTCAGTTTAACGACTTAAACGCAACTGTACATCAAAACTGACGTGAAATATAGAGTTCATTACGCTTCGTAAAACCAATATGTTGTTTTAATCATTGCAATTATTTCACAATTTACCAGTTTCTTAATTATAAATTTAATATTTTTTATAGTATTAGAGAGTATTTAATTTTACGATTGTTAACACTATTCTTATTACAATTAATTAATAATATTTTATAGAAAAACGGTTTTATGCAATGCGTAGAATAAATTTTATTACTTCCTAATATTTTAAGAAATGTCTATTATATTTGAATAATATATAATTTTGAGCATAACTAATTTTTTATTTGTCTATTTCTCCCTACGATCTTATCCAGCTAATTTAATCATCTTTTTTCTACTTTACTTTATTTTCATTTATTTTATTTCGTGTAATATGTATTTACATAAAATTTCATCATAGAATATTTGTGTTAGTTTTAAAAAAAATTGTAAAACGCCAGACTGGTAGAGCGTGCTGAAATTGCTACGATGCATCGTCACGACTTAAGAGCTATTGACATAAAAAAGCAGTTTTCTTTATAGCTCAAAGATAAATTATTTGGTATTATTTATAAATATGCCTTTATTTATTGAGAATATACTATGTTTTCTTATACATAAAAACATAATTTAGTTAAATTAATTATTTAAATGAAAGGTAATATTAAACATTATGCTAAGTTAAATAATTCTCTCATAAAGTTTAATGCATACAATTAAGTTATATTTTCAGTATATTTTTTTAAATTCCGCCATATTTGTTACACAACATTTTAGAAGATTCCGAAGCAAAAATACCTCAAAAAAAGAACTATCATGATTTTAAACAATGCAGCGTGAGCTTTTAGCCTCCGGCGAGACAAAGGCGAAAGTGTGAATCAGCACACTCCGTTTAACTACTTCCGTTTTAATATCACAACATTGAAGAGTTATATAAAGATTAAAAGTGATTAAAAGCATTTCACAATGTTTTTAATTAACCGAATTATTTTAAAAGTGTAATCTATTTACTTACCTATTTTAGGAGGTTCAAAAAAGTTTCAGCGTTCATAAAACAGTCACATAAACTTATTGCACGCACGAGTTTGAAAGTTACACGCCATATAATAAATCCATGTTCAGAATATAACTTTTCACGTGAAAGTGTCATATAAATACTTTTTTAACACGCATTGTGTATTTAATATTTATTTTCTGTGTGACGTATGTTTGCGCGCGAAATTCCTGAAAAGATGGCGCGGGGACGCGGCAACGGTGGTTCCCTTGGCTGTACTAGCGTTGAAAGCGAAATAGACGGACTCGCTAAGTGCGCCGTACGATGCGCAAGTCAACTCTAAACGAATTGGAAAAATAAGTTGAACTTTTAATTCTATTATAAAATAATTATTACTCTGTATTTTTCTTTTATTTCTTATCTTTTATTAGGTACATTAACATAATATTATCTAAAACTAAATCATGATGCGAATGAACGGCCTTTCGTGCAAACTTATTCGTAATCACCAATTTATGTTATTATTTTTATTGCATGCAACCTCTTTGCAATTTTTTTATTATATCATTTAGAAAAAAACAAATTCATAACACAGTACATTTTATAGCTAAATGATGGCTAACATTGGCATGGCCATCGTTATCATATCATAATATATTGATAACTTCAGTAGATAAATGATTTTACTGACGCATTAATATTATACCGTAGATTTTGCACATAAAGAGAATTCTTCAATTTAATTTCACAAAAAGAGTTTTTTTGTGTTTATAAAATATTTTTAAAAACACGGTTTCGTCTATATGTAGTATATTATAGTTATAGTTTTTCTAAACAGATAAATTATTTACAAAAAAATCAAAAAAAGACATTTAGACGTCGCTAATTAACTGTTTGAAAGTGATTTTCCCATGGTGAGTACTAAATATATCGGGATATAAGTCTTCAAATCACATAATTATTTATGTACAATGCTTAGTACTTTAGTTTTTTTAATATTTTTAATGAAATTAGTCAGGATAGGACTTTATTTAGTCCTTCTTTATGTTTATCTGTCAATAACTAGAACGGATATTTTTAATTAAATTTTAATGTCATATATATGTCCAGCAAACATCAAATAATATAATTTTACTTTTGCTAAACTTTAACGTTTAAAATTAAAAACATACATACGTTTTTGGCCTTAAAAATATATAGGTATATTAAGGTTCACATAAAATGTAATATGTGAAAGTGTTTAGTGAAACAGACAAGTACAAATTAAATAGACCAAGTAATAAATTACTGAAATTACATTAAAAATAGAAATAGGAACGAACCCGAACGAATCAAGGGTGATTTGTTTGTATTAATTTAATTAAAATGATACTATTCTCATTTAAAATATACTTATGTATAACCATGTATTTAAAATATCGCGCGTATAGACTCGAATCGAATTAAAAAATAACATTCACACCTTTCTCTTTTTAAAACAAACAAATTGCAGAGCTCTACATATAATTTCGACTAATACATCAGTTGGCTCGTTGGTCTAGGGGTATGATTTTCGCTTAGGGTGCGAGAGGTCCCGGGTTCAAATCCCGGACGAGCCCAAATCTTTTTACATACAATTTATTTTTTATATTATTTTGAAGTTATATGAACATAATATAGGTATTTCATTTCCTTAGATTATTTTTTATAACAAATAACTTAATTTTATACTGTCATTTTTATATATTCATTCTTTATCTTATTCATTCTTACCAGCTGTCAACAAATTTGAAGCTTCTGGCGATTTCCAAGAAAAGAAAAATGATAAACATTTTCATTAAAGCTTTCCCACGTATCAAATAAAGCAAACAATTTTCGCAATATATTATGTCGCTAAAAGTCTGAAACGTGCTTTCATTATCATTATGATTTAAAAACCGTCACCGGGACAAAAGCATTCAAAGTCAACATTTATCCTCAACAAGCTCCCATGTTATTTTTACATATGAAAATAATATTTAAATCTCTTTATATTCGTGGGTTCTTTTATGTACAAAATGTTTTAACGTGATATTGCATGCTAAATCTTTTGAGAGGTCTGAGTATAACAGGTTTATTTAGACTATTCTAATGATTTGCCTTTTGTGGCTCATACATACATATATATGTCCGTTAATATTTAAGAAATAATATGATAAATAAACAAATATGTTGGGACATTGACACACAGCACCATCTAGTTCCATGGTAAACTACGAGGCCTGAGTTATGGATACCAGATAGTTGAAACTGTACACATATATAACTTTAAATACATACATATTATAAATATAAACACCCCTGACTGGAGTACAAACATTCGTGCTCATCACACAAATGAATGTCCCCAGCGGGACTCGAAGCCGCGACCGCTGGCACAGCAAGTAGGGTCACTACAAACCGAGCCAAACATGTCGTCACTTTATCTTACTTTTATCTAGTTGTTGGCCGCGGCGCTACTAGAATAATTTATTTATGTATACGTAATTAATCTACTTCTAAGAATCGTATAACATTCAAAAAGTTTGATGATAAATCGTTGTGGTAGTTCCATAGATTAGCGACTTCTAATATCACTACATATAATAAAATTGTAACTGAGTCGAATCTGTACATTAAATATTTTTTGGAAAATCTTATTGAAATAGACATTATTATCGATACAGAGTCCGAATCTATAGTTTTTAGAATTTTTGTCTGTCTGTCTGTCTGTCTGTTACCGCATCACGAGAAAACCCCTGGACAGATTTTGATGAAATTTGGTATGATGATAGCTGGTTATCCGGGTCAACATATAGGATACTTTTTACCGCGGAAAAATATCTCATTTCTGAGAAAAAAAATACAAAAACTGCATGGTAAGAGTATACTAATATGTAAAACCTAAGAATTTGATTTTTGTTCATCTGAACGCGGGCGGAGCCGCGGACAATGCTAGTATAAAAAATAAATTACGTTATAATATTAAGTGTAGGATATTGTATATCTCTTTTGTTTTATGACAGCAACATTGATAATTATAGTGAGCTGTCAGTGAAATATACAATGTCACTTTATATTGTAAGTAAATATCTTAGTAAAAAGCAGTAAAATATTGCATAAATTATAAATTTTATGACAAAACTGTAACGTGAATGTATTTTGTCATTACATTTAACGCCGTTAAGGAGACAGAAAATGAATAAAACATTCATTCAAATTTTATTTGTATTTTATTGGCTTCAATCAGCAAAATAAATAAATTAAGAAACAGTCCAAGTTTCAAGTGCTAATTCCTTTCTTACTCAAAGCGCAACCATAATTGGCTGGCCTGAAGACCATAAAAGATTTATTTCGTTTCAATAATTACGCTTCAGAAAAAACTTGTTTGTACTACAATTATATAAAATATATAACATAATGAGAACTCGTACAAAAATTTTACCATGCTTCGTAGATTGTGTATTCGAATACATGGCAGTATTTTGTAAACTCTGTATAATAAAATTATATCTAGATAATATGTAAAACAATTTCTATCATGAATATATCGATACAATATTTTTTTAAATATTTGATTATAATAATAAGTATAGCTACTCATTTTACTACTTTTCAGTCTTCTTAATGATCGTCAAAAAAGAAATTGTTTTAGGCTCTAAAACTAAACTTATAAGAGAAAAAAAAATCAATATTTTTTTCAAAAACTTTCCCTTTAAACTCTCAAATTGAGCAATGTAAACACGTACATATATCGCGTTATAAAAGTAAATGAATCATGCTTATAGCTAATATGAAAAATATTTCCACAGCAAATTACTTTTAAACCTAGAGGTAGAAAGTATATTTTGAGTAATTGAAATGTACTGGAATATATTTTATGCGATACAGTCGTCCCTATCGGCGTTATCGGGCCAGTCGCATACATTCAAATTAGTGTTGAACACGGTGCCCGGTTGACATGAGAACTGCATGCCCTCCCCGTTCACACAACGCCAATACTGGAATAAAAGAATATTTTAATACAAAAATATACATTTTTCTTTATATATAATATACATGTATTTTTTATCTTCTGGCAAAGAACTAGTACCAACTTTTGGCAAAATTTTATTACTAACAGTTGTTTAGTGGTTCTAGGTCTACTCAGCTGAAATTTTCATCACATACACACACATACATACAGACTTTCGTATTTTTAATAGTAATGTTATTAGACGTAAAGTCAACGAAAATTTAAATAGACTAACAGTAATTATGACGCTATTTAAATGATATTCGAAACTGTAAATAAGTTTTAGTCCAATTATTTCATTAATTCCGTTTTCGAATATTAAATACCGTAGGTACATCGATTAAAACAAATCATTTTCTTGAGTACTCACTATATACAGCAATGTTTCTGTACAAAGGTTAGAATATATGTTTTCTCTCTTTAATTTACAACTTGAAAACAATGAAAGTAATAAAAACGGAAGTTGCATTATTTTTTTAAAATATTTAATGTTTTATTGTTTCAAGTTTATTTCCCTTGCGGTTTCAGTGAAATGAGTTAAGTTACATCTAAAATTTTTCGTTTTCAAGACAGCAATTGCTAATTGCTTTTTATCTCAAGTTATATATAAGTTATTTATTATGACCTTTTTGTTGGAGTTCATCAGACCCTAAATACTCTTACAGTATATCATAACGTGAGTTTATTTTAATACTTACAAATATTTGAGTTAGAATAAAATGTAATATTTTAAAATTATCTGCCACTATAAGCATAATTGTATCTACAGCTAATTTTAATTGTTTTGATGATAGTCACAGTTATATTATATTAGGAAAACCGCAAGCGAAATAAAAGTTAATTTTACTCTTTAGATCGCGCTTAACATATATAACGAATATAATAATATGATAGACTAGCAACTCACCCTCGCTCCGCTCGGGTTCGTTCCTAGTTACGTTTTACCGATAGTATAGATTTCTCAGAGGTGAGATATTTTCCCGCAGTAAAAAGTGTACTATATGTTGACCCAGATACCATCATACCAAATTTCATCAAAATCCCTCCAGTGGTTTCTCCATGATGCGGTAACAGACAGACAGACAAAAATTCTAAAAACTATAGATTCGGCCTCTGTATCGATAATAATGTCTATTTCAATAAGATTTTCCAAAAAATATTCAATGTACAGATTCCGCTTAGTTACAATTTTATTATATGTACCTATAGATAAATTATATGTAAATATTTTATTTTACTTTTACTTAATTTACTAACTAAAGACTTATCACGACTAAATTTTACTCAGGTAAAATTCATTAAACATTACTTATTGTGAAAAAGCTTCCTGTAGGTACTATATCATATAGTATGAGATATATAACAATTGATGACTAACATAGACCCAATAGAATCTATCATTATTATATAAAATCAAATACTACGATAGATACAATGATAAGTAGCAGAACTTTGAATATCAAAGACATCACTCGTGTAGATACCGCAAACTTTGTTAGAATAAGTTAATTTAGTTTATGTACACTAACATTTGTGATTGGGCTATTGATACTATTAATAGTATTAATGAAAACTTTCTATTCTAAGAATAGTTTTCTCGGAACATTAAAATCGATACATATAATAAAATTCTAACCAAGTCGAATCTGTACATTAAATATTTTTTGGAAAATCTTATTGAAAAATATAATTATATATTATCAACACAGATGCCGAATCTATAGTTTTTAGAATTTTTGTCTGTCTATCTGTCTGTCTGGGAACGCATAACGAGAAAACCACTGGACAGATTTTAATAAAATTTAGTATGATGATAGCTGGTTATCCGGGTCGACATATAGGATACTTTTTAACGCGGGAAAATATCTCATGTCTCAGAAATCTATACTAAATATTAAAACGGTAACTAGGGTCGAACCCAAGCGGAGCGAGGGTGAATCGCTAATATACTATATATTGTAACTTTTAAAAGAGAATTTTCTTTACTAACTATATATACTTTATTTTACCTAACTAAATAATTTTTAAGATCACAAGTACTAGCAATTACATCAAATTTATTATAATAATAATGATCCCTTAAATAATATTAAAGCTTCTTGAAAAACAAGTGCCATTAAGATAGAGCACAAAGAAAATAAAAAATGTTTTATCGCTAAGCAATACCCATTTATATGAAGCAACTCGTATAAAGCTAACTAGGTAGAACTACAAGTGTCTATTATAATCGCCATCATTATTTCATAAATCCAATCTCCCGCAAGCGAGCGTAATAAAGTTGTAAAAGAATAAAAATTGCACACGCGCGACACCTGCCGCTAAAAGACTTTTATATCTAAATGAGATAGATCATGCTTATACGGAGAATTCCTTTTAATTTTTTATCCTTTAGGTTTCGTAGAATATACATACACAAGGTCCTATTAATAACCAGACGCTGTCTATCCGTCCGTCTATGGATCTTTAAAAGTACTACATAGTTGGAATTTTTATATATATCAAAGGTACCATGGATTCTTTACCACCCTAGTTCAGACCCCGATTACCAGTTCTGGTAAGCTCTCGTAAGTAAGTCGATAATATTTTAAATATTTTTTTTTAAATATAGTAATTTATTCTAGTATTATAAAGAGGATAAATTGTTTGTTTTTTTTTTTGTTTGTTTGTATCGAATAGGCTTCAAAACTACTGGACCGATTAAGTTAAAATTTCGTAAGCAGACAGTTTGAGACCCTGAAAAGGACATAGGATATTTTTATCCCGGAAATCATCCCTTAAGAAGCAACCTAACTAAGCAATAGTTTTATAATAAGCTTGTATTAGTATTATAATAATTGTATGAAAACAAAGAAAGCTTCTTATTCTTAAAAAATAGCTTTTCTCTTAAAATAAATAATCAGTTTTTATTATAAAATGTTCATAGCAAAGTTTTATAACGATAGTAAATCTGTGTCATCTTACCTTATCGCAATTCTTTTTGTCTGGGACGTAGTCGTCGTCGGAAGTGCATACTCCGGGGCTGTCTACCTCATTTTCCTGTAGAAATTGTAATTCTTGTTTGTATAATTAGCTTTTTTAATGAACAAATGCTAATACGAATTGCATCGTACTATGTAGGTACATATTAGAAATAAAATATATTTTGATTAGTTCCAATATTTTCTGCCAAAATCTACCCCCTAATAATAATAATGAATACGCAAGTGTAAATCTACCACTAAACCGTTTTTGTTTCTAATTTTTAAGAATTATTCAGTTAATTGTGTGCAAAATCGTAATCAATATATTGGAATAATGAACAACTTTAGTAATGATAAATTATAAGTTCTAAGACTCCCTTTTGCTCCCCAAGTACCTGTATTTTTTCACCACGCTAATTATTCTGTTTGGCATTATTTTAAAATTTTTAATTTTCAAAACAAATAAGGTGTATACTGTATAATGTATTGTATGTATTCAGCCCTTTTTTTAACGTCCCACTGCTAGGCACGGGCCTCCCTTCAATACGAGGGGGATCAGGCCATAGTCCACCACGCTGGCCAAGTGCGGGTTGGTGGACTTCACATGTCTTTCGAAAACTTGCTAGGTTCTCTCAAACATGCAGGTTTCCTTACGATGTTTTCCTTCACCGTAAGACAAGTGGTAATCATGTTAGAAACGATTCGCACTTGAAAATATCAGAGGTGCGAGACCCGGGATTTGAACCCACTTCACTTGGTTTCCCAAGCGAGCGCGTTACCACTGGGCTACCACGCCCTTATAATGTATATGCTGTAAGTAAATTACCGCTGGTGGTTCCTCTACATCTGGTTCAGCAGGCTCAGCAGGCTCAGCAGGTTTAGAAGATTCGCTGGAAGATGGTGCTTGTGTCGTTGTTGTTGTTGTTGGTTTCTTTGTTGTTGTTATTGGCTTCTTTGATGTTGTTGACGGAGCAACTGTTGTTGTTGATGGTATGGGGGCTCCTTCTGAAGGATCCGCTGGAGTTGACGGTGGCTTGGCCCAGTCAGGCTGAAATATTGTATTTTTTATTTTTTATTATTCTTTGACACGATACGATCTATTTGGTAGTTATTAGATGGAGTATGTTATACTAGTATTTTATACTTCATTTTACAAAAGAAATTTATTTTCAAATTTTTAGAAATATTTATTAATAATATCTACATCTTAAAACTCAACACGACAAAAAATTTTAGTAACTTATAAAGTTTTGCAAAAATTAGTCTTCTAGTCGTTATGAAAAACAAATCCATAATAGGTGTTAGTGAATCAAAACATCAGAACAAAATTCAGGTAATGAAAACAAGAGGTCAACACATTATACAAATGGCATACAAAAGTTGAACGAGAATAACAAGTCCTAACAAGTCAACTTTACCAATAACGTTCACATTTCCTAAGTCCATTATTAAGGTCATGAACTGAATTATTTTTTGTGAATAAGTACCTAAGCGTATTTACATGAGAAAAGTATAATAAAAAACAAAAGTTGTGATAAACACATATAGGGTCTACTACGAATTTGTGTGAGAGATTGCAAGATCTCAGACTTAATATAGGATGTATAATTCCCCCCCCAACGTGCGTTCACCTTGTCGTGGTGGGGGGGCTCAGTAGTGTACTCGCGAAGCCAAGAAACGCACAGGGAGGTGGCCCACTTCGGTGGGCGGTGGGAGGCGGCCTTCTTCGGAGGGTGGTGTACCATGCGGGTTGCTCCTGGTACTTCTCTGATAGCAGAGTGGACTGTGGAGCAACCCCATGGTTGTTGTGGTCTGCTTCGGCAGACCTGCCGTCGGGGCGTCGTAGTTGAATGCGTAAGCGATCCTGCGACGCCCCATTAAGACGGGGGAAGGTTTTGTTGGGTTTTAGTGGGTAGTACTGGCTTCGCCGGTGAGTCCCACACTTCGTGCGTAAATGCATTTCCCAACGTTAAAAAAAAAAAAAAAAAAAAAAAAAAGGATGTATAATTTAAAAAAAAAGCAACAAGTAACTATTAGAACTACGATGAAGATATTAATATTATAATGTTTTGATTCTTTGAAAATAGTATTAATGTCTATTCCTCTGTAAGTGTAACAATAAAAAGGTCTTTTAATAAAATTTAATTGAAATAGTCAATGCCTTAATTGCATCTTAGAAAGCAAAGTTAGATAAAGCTAAAAATGAATTAAGTTTCTAATAAAGGAGGTGAATGATCGAAGTTTTGTAGGAGACATCGCCATTTACCGAAGTCTAACAATTTTTGGGTAAAATTATAGTCCACCTTGTAGTTTGCTTTCAGAACTTTAAGCTATAATTTTAAAATTCCTGGCTAATTTTCAGCCTCCATAATGTTCTCTCATTTTTTACTTTCCAAGATTCTTTATACTTCTCAGAGTTTAGCAGATTTGTATGAAGAAAATGAAATGTGTCCAATTATTTTTACTTGACCTTAGAATAGTACACATAATATAGTTAAGCCATCTAAGATGAAGTGGTGGATAAGGTGGCTTGCATACGGCTGTAGATCTGAATGTCCTGGGTTCGATGCCTGGGCCGTGCCAAGTACTATTGGGATTTTCTGTCTAGTATGTTAGGTACTAGGTGTTTTAAAGATCACGTAAAGCAGACGATTCTACTATGACTTACGCACTTATCCTTTCAGGGTAAACACTGATATACATAAACTCTTTATTAGCGTTCCCCATATTCAATAAAATATAAAAGATAAAAATATAGATTGAATTAACAAAATATACTTACAGTTGGGGTAGCAGTTCCAGTCCGTGCCGGTGGGACATTGTAGGATTTCATGTGTTTATATAACAACTTCATTAGTGGATTAGTTTCACCGCAGACACCTCTAAAATCGTCCATATCTATAGCCCAGGTCATAGCTCCTAAGTATCCCTTCTGTTTGATCCAGTTCATTTTTATCTCTATACTTTTAGAGTCTTCATAGCCGACCCATTGAGTTCCTTTGTACGCGTACGGGCATTTGCCATGATCATCCCATTTCTTTGTCCAACCAGACTCTGGTGCGTCAACGTCCATACATATCTAATAATAAATTATAATTTTAGAGTTAAATATATTGGGACATTAACACACAACACCATCTACGAGGCTTGTGTTATGGATACCACATGGTTGATACACTACACATATATATAACTTTAAATATATACATATTATATATATATAAACACCCATGACTGAAGTACAAACACGTGTTCATCACACAAATGAATGCCCCCAGCGGGACTCGAACCCGCGACCGCTGGCACAGAAAGTGGGGTCACTACAAAAATAAAAAGTAAATAATATAAAAATAACATTATAAAGTCTAAATACTGTGTTGCTTTAAATATTATTAAGGGAAGGTCCAATATATTGAATTATTATTAGTGCAGCGCTATAGCTATATATAAAAACAATAATTTATTACGGATTTTTCACTAATAATTAGATAGGTATATCATAAAAAAATCAGCAACACTCGTTAAAATCGTGTATATTTGAAAAAGATATCTATTAAAAAGAAAATCACGAGATCTTAAGAAACCTTAACTGCATTTCAATTCAATTACATGAAACAGTTTGCGTCCGCACGAGAGCAAATTTCCGATATCTTTTTTTTCCTTTTGAATGAAATAAATTTCTTCTTAGCTCTACAAATACTTGAAAACTTGAAGTTGTTAAATATTAATCTTAATGTTGAAACGCATTTACGCCGGATACTCGGCACCTGCTTCTATTATTTATTAGAGACATAGTGTATAAACTTTTTACTTAAAATTATGATTTGCACACAATATTTGTTTAACTTCCCATTACTGGGCACAAACTAAATCAGACGATGGAGAAGATCAGGCCATTGTCCTAGCCAAATGCGTGTTGGTGGTCATCATATATCTTTAAAAAACTAGTTAGATTCTCTCTTGGATACAAATTTCCTTGTGATGTTTTCCTTCACCATAAATCAAGTGATAATAGTTTCACATGGAAAGCTCAAAAGTGCGAGCGAGACCCGGGAATTGAACCCTTAAAAAAACTTAAAACACCTTATACATATTTCACTATCTTTAGTAAGGTTACACAGAAATCTGCACATAAAGTATTAATACGTTATACGTTAAGTTAAATGTTTCATAATGTACTTAACTAATTTAACAAGATCTTAATTTATCATTAAAGAGCCGTGTTTTGCCATTTTTCGTAACAACAATTAATATTTACTATGAAAAGATACTGGATCTTAATAAAACATGACACCATTTGAGAACACTTTAAAACGTAAACTTTAAAAACATAATGGCTGAAAAGGCGAAGCCTTTAATTAGATTATTTTTGTTTAACTTACTTCATAGTATGACCAAAATCCAGTAGCATTGGTATACGGCGCAGGGCTGCCACCACCAGCTTCTTTGTTAATGTAAGTTCCAAGACCGTAGTTATTGTTACCAGCAGATAATGTGAAAGATCTGCCATAGAATGGAACGCCTACCACCAGCTTATCTGAGGGACATCCCATTTCTTCCCATAGGTTGAGACCGTCATTCTGAAAAATTATAATTAGAAACATATATTTTTTTTAATTTTTGCTTTAAAAAGTGAAAAATTATTTAATAACCCAAGCCACAAACAGCTCAAGTAGTTGGACCTAATTTAAAATTTGAACGGAACTTTCTGCTTTTTTAAAAGAGCTTTAGACTTTACGTAATGACAACAAAAAATATGTATACTCTAGATAATTAAAACTGAATAATAATTTTTTTTTAACATTTCTAAAATTATGTTAAATAAAATTATCTTTTTGGATTTTTTTCGCGGATTTATATTGTTTTTTATTACGTTTCAAATGCTTTGCAGTAAAGGTCACGGGAGATACAGTCTGAAAGCGAAAGAAAAAAAAATGTGAAGAGAAAAAAATATTTATAAATATTTACGTAAGTCTAAAAGAGTAGGTATTTCTAAAATTATTTGAAAATAACCTTAAAAGTTATGTATTCTCCACACATATGTATTATTGTAGAAAGGAATTAAATAAGCAAATTATATTATTAACTTACATAATATATTTATTATTTATATGCAAAAGATACATACCACGTTAAGTTTCTCATAAGCCCATTGGTCATGAGGGCGCTTGTACAGGGGAGAGTGCACATCAGCGAAACCCGCCCAATTTCCTCTTAGATCGTAAGCCATTACGTGAACAGCATCTAAACATCTGCAAATAGTAAAAGCAGTAATTACTTATTTAGAAGTATAAATAATTTAACTTGTATAATAGCTAACTCAGATATACTCGTTTGTATTGCATTGAGCAATCTGTCTTATATGCCGTATGTCTCGGGTTTGATTCCTATACATTATTATTTATTAAAATATTTTTTCATAATATAGTTAGGTAATAAATAGGTGTTGGAAACCACACATAATGTCTAACGAAAGAACTTCGCATTTATACATTTATTTTAATCTATTCAAGTTTATTTAGCTAGCGACTAATCCCCGCTTCGTTTCGGTTTCGTCCCTACGGAATCATCCCCATACAAAATTTCATCCATATTTTCACCCCCTTAAAGGATGATTTCCGGGATAAAAACTATCCTTTGTCATTTCCAGGTCTCAAACTATATTCTTACCAAATTTCATCTAAATCGATCCAGTAGTTTTCAGATTATTCGTTACAAACATACAAAAATACAAATCTTTCCTCTTTATAATATTAGTGTAGATGGTAGATACAATATTAATGAATTGTATTTCAATCTAAATATCAGAACAAAGCAGGCCCACACATTAAGCAATACAGTTTTTAAACTAGTTAACATTTTAAAATTGTTGTTGTAAAATTAAAGAGAATATTCCGGAAATGCTACACCAAATTACACCCGCAATTCTCACAGTAGGTTAATTTGTCTGCTCAAATAATAATCTTAACTGACTGTTTAAACACTCGCAACGGGGAATAGCAACAAATTGATTTAATCGTACTTATTGCGTATATGTGTATGAAATGGTCATGGTGGAGTGTAGCATTACTTGACTGATATTACCAATAATGCCGAAAGTATAATTCGAACACCATATAAAATAGATATAAGAATGGATTTTCACTTTCTACTCACTTAAATACGAACATACAGATATTATTAATATCTAAAATTAACAATATTTAGTCTAGACTAATATCATTAAAGAAGAATTTATAAGTTTAGATGCTGTAGGCAAATTCCGGAATTACTTGTCAGATTTTTAAAATGCTTCCATCGTTAAAAAACATTACTTCTAAGTATTGAAGGCATTTTTTATTTCGTTAACAATAAGTTTCAGTAATAAATCACAATCGCCACAACTGTAGTTCGAATGTTATCTATAAGTTAAACAATTTAAACTCGTTAAATAATTAAGGAAGTACGACTTACTGGCATAACTCAGGAACATGGTATCCTTCCTGTAATCTAAATTTGGCTAAAGGTACAGCTGCTGTTAGTTCCCAACTTTTATCTTCTCTAATAAAGGCCCTACGTAACTCCTGGACCAAATATAGAAACCTGTCCTTATCAGAGAAAGAGCCTCCGCGATCTGCTGCTCCAGGGTACTCCCAGTCAAGGTCAAGACCATCGAAATCGTATTTGTGGAGGAAATCTAAGGAAATTTTGTTAATGTTAAATATTAAAATAGTAAGGGAATACTTAGTGTTGAGTTTTTAATTAAATTCATGGCACAATAATTGTGTAGGTTGCTGAATATTTACTGGAATATACTTAGTAGCTAAAATCTCTTTGCGAATATAACAAATACTAATACTAATGCTTCTATAACATCTATTTGTTTGTAGCGTTTTGACATCCTAATCGGCTTAAACTACAAAAACCTACAGACCTACAGTAAGGATTTCTATGTTTTGTTGTGACATGATAACATGAGCTTATTTTGTGTAAACGCAAACAAAGACGCAATTTTTTGTTAACTTTAATTTTAGTCTAAATATTTGGATATAACTTGCTTCTTTAACCGACTTCCAAAAAGGAGGAGGTTCTCAATTCGTCGGAATCTTTTTTTTATGTATGTTCACCGATTACGAAGACGCCTGAACCGATTTCAAATTTTTTTTTTTCAAAGTATACTTCCCAGGTGATCATCCCATATAAATTTTATCAAAATCGGTCGAGCAGTTTTTAGGAAAATCAACAATAAATATTTTTTTAAATAAATTGTTTAATCGAATATGTTATTATAAAAACTTTCTTACAAATTACCTGCTTATTACGTCTACACTAAAAATGGAAAAATAAAAACTTAAAAAAAAGCGACTTCCAGGCACTAAAATGTAAAAAATAAGTAAACTGAGGTTTTCATTTAGAATAGATACCTAATCAGATATTTTCGTTCGGTTATACTGCGATAACTACTGAACCGATCGGAATAATACTCATACCATAAGATGCAGCGTGTTTCGGAGAAGGTTTTAGTATATGATATGTTGGTGATTAATGTACTACGCGGGTCGAGTCGCAGAAAAACGCTAGTTTTTAGTAAAAACTTTGTATGCGACCGAGATTCGAACCTGGATACCTGTGATTGTTGATCTTGCTCCTTAGCCGCTTGACCACGATGTTTATGCCTGAGCGTGCAAATTACCGACCATTTTTTGCGTGGAATAATGCAAAAGAAAACTGCATGAAAACTCGGAATTACGCGTTTCTCAGACATAAGACTAATCTAGATCGATTTATCACTTCAAAAGATACAGACTAGATTATAGTAGCAGATTCATGGACGGACGGACAATATAAACACCCATGACTGGAGTACAAATACAAATGGATGCCCCCAGCGAGACTCGAACCCGCGACCAAATTGCGAAGGTAGTGAGGTATGTGATTAAAATAATGCCTAGAATTTACATTCAGACGTGACTATGACCCGGCGGGAACTGCGGGAGTTCATATTATTTTTCACACTGCGACTCGACCCGCGTAGTACATTAATCACCAACATATCATATACTAAAACCTTCTCCGAAACACGCTGCATCTTATGGTATGAGTATTATTCCGATCGGTTCAGTAGTTATCGCAGTATAACCGAACAAAAAAAATACTGCGATAACTACTGCCGATCGGAATAATACTCATACCAGTATATGATATGTTGGTGATTAATGTACTACGCGGGTCGAGTCGCAGAAAAACGCTAGTTTTCAAATAAACGTTTTTCATTACATGAAATAAAAAACTGCAAACGAAAACAAATTGTTTAAACTACAAAATATTTACCTTAGAATTTTTTGCAACGTAAAATTTTACGTAAAACCTCATTGAAAGATCTTCTTTAGTCAAAAAAACTTAGCGGTTCTATTATAATAAGTTCTGTGAAAAATAATATGAACTCCCGCAGTTCCCGCCGGGTCATAGTCACGTCTGAATGTAAATTCTAGGCATTATTTTAATCACATACCTCACTACCTTCACAATAGCATTCATAGACAGACCGAGCATTTTGTTTAAAATGGCATTTAAATCGAATATTGTAAAGGTATTCAATAAATCCATTTCCATTGTAGTTCTAGTAGCTATTCGAGTAAAGTTCAAGCCAACCAAAGTACAGAAATTGATTTTTTATGAATACCTTAACTTTTCTCCGTTGTCGTTTTGCTATTTAAAATTAATGTTTAATAATATCGCCCTACTAAGATAAATAATATTTGACGACACGTTTGGCTTAGTTTGTACTTGGTAGTGAACCTACTTGATATGCCAGCAATTTGGTCGCGGGTTCGAGTCTCGCTGGGGGCATCCATTTGTATTTGTACTCCAGTCATGGGTGTTTATATTTATAATATGTGTAGTGTATCAACAACTATCAGGTATCCATAACACAAGCCTCGTGCTTAGCATGGAACTAGATGGCACTGTGAAAATAATGTCCCAACATATTTATTTATTTATATGTGTATATATTTACTACCCCTTCACGCTGAAACGGCTGAATTCATATGTATATAATTTAGTATTAAGTATGAAAACCACTCATAGTTGACATTGAATCCAATTACTCGTAATCAATTGATACTAATTGTTCTACAATATTTAACTAGTTTCAAGTGGTATCTACGTACACAAAACAAATGGAATTTATGTTTATTTTTTATTGTTTGGGTGTCTAAATCCATTCTTAGGGTTTCGTACCCGATTTTCAAATACGGAAGCCTACTTTTAATAATTAACTGTTTTGTAACTGACTGTTTTGTCCGTCCGTCCATGAATCTGCTACTATAATCTAGTCTGTATCTTTTGAACCGTTTGGAATTGTAGTCAGTTAAAATTTTCGTAGAATGTGTGTTAAAATTATTGCGAATACCCTAATAAATTAGAAAAATATAATATTTTAGTATTAAAATATAATACGACTACACTATTAAGAGAAAACTTCGTATCTTATATTCAGCAATTCTTGTATATATGTATATATATAATCTGAATCTCGGAAACGGCTCCAACGATTTTCATGAAATTTAGTACACAGGAGGTTTCGGGGGCGATAAATCGATCTAGATTAATCTTATGTCTAAGAAAACGCGTGATTTCGAGTTTTCATGCAGTTTTCTTTTGCATTATTCCATGCAAAAAATGGTCGCTAATTTGCACGCTCAGGCATAAACATCGTGGTCAAGCGGCCAAGGTGCAAGATCAACAATCACAGGTATCCAGGTTCGAATCTCGGTCGCATACAAAGTTTTTACTTTTGTATTTTTTTATATTTATTCAAGTTTTGAGTTTAAGAAAAAAGAAAATTGTACTTTAGGCCAAAAACTCTGAGCGAAGCTCGATAGCCTACGTACTAATAATACGTCGTATCCTCGAATATTATATTTTGATTTTGTAAACGTGGTTCAACTGTTTCAATTTCGTTTATAAAAACAATATCAATAGCAGGAAAATGTATATAAAATCCAACTACCGCCATCACATTATCTCGGCACGTCGCTACGAGTATGCGGAACACCATTGTCTAGTCCCGCCACGTAGTTACAGCTTCAATAGTAATTCTGTACTTCCGACAGCGTCCCGCTTTGTTTACTTTTAGTATTTTACGCGAAATCCTTTAACTGAAGTGATTCGTACGTAACTTACAGCTTTTGAACTATGACTTTTATACTTATGAACTTATATCGTAAATCTATACATATAATAAAATTGTAACTAAGCCGAATCTGTATTTTAAATAATTTTTGGAAAATTTTATTGAAATAAACATTATTATCGATACAGAGGCCGAATCTATAGTTTTTAGAATTCTTGTCTGGCTGATTGTCTGTCTGCCTGTTACCGCATCATTGAAAAACCACTGAAGGGATGTTGATGAAATTTGGTATGGTGATAGCTGGTTATCCGGGTCAACATATAGGATACTTTTTACCGCAGGAAAATATCTCATTAGTAATATAAAAATATAAAAATACAAAAACTGCAATGCAGGAGTATACTAATAATATGTAAAACCTAAGAATTTGGTTTTAAGTCATCTGAAAGGGGGCGGAGCCGCGGGCTATGTTAGTGTTAAATAAACGTGTGAAGAACAAAATTGAAATATACTCGTACGTAGATGACAAAAATAACTTCTGTTTCACTAAAGTTTATATTTTTGCTTCAAAAGCAAAAATGGAATGTAACTTTTGCCTTGCTGCATTTATTTTTACTAATAGTACCTACCTATCTCTTCTCTATTTTATATATAAACTTGTAATTTATTGAAATGCTATGCGAACAAAATAGATTACCACTATATCAGTTTTTTGTTAAGCAAGCAGTTGTTCATTTCAAATGTTAAATTTATAAATATTACTTGTTATTTCGAAATATTTTAATAGCATATTTTACTTACCAACGATGCTTCTCACGAAAGCCATTCTAGACGACTTTTGAGCCACCATATGAGAATACTTTGAGCCTCCCTCAGCCCAACCTCCCACAGCCACCATGAATTTGACATTTGGATGAGATTTCTTCAGAGACGTGAAGTTACGGAAACCACCCTTATCAACGTCCAACTATAGAAAAAGTACCATTTTAATTTACAATTAAATTAAATCAATCTTAATTACATCTAATATACCTATAAAAATAATCCTTCAAAATATGTACTTGACAATTTATTCATTGACAATATTTTATTGGGCTAAATATCAGTAATTTATGTTCTTATTATAAAAACAAATAACGTATTATTTAGAGATACATTTTTTGTTTTCTTGTTGTTATATATATTATATATATATATATATATATATATATATATATATATATATATAATCTGAATCTCGGAAACGGCTCCAACGATTTTCATGAAATTCAGCGCACAGGGATTTCGGGGGCGATAAATCGATCTAGATTACTCTTATGTCTGAGAAAACGCGTGTTTTCGAGTTTTGCAGTGCAGTTTTGTTTCACATTATTCCACGCGAAATATGGTAATTTGCACGCTCGGGCATAAACGTCGTGGTCAAACGGCCAAAGTGCAAGATGAACAATCACAGGTGTCCAGGTTCGAATCTCGGTCGCATACAAAGTTTTTACTTTTGTTTTTTTTTTATATTTATTCAAGTTTTTAGTTATTTAAAAAAAAAGAAAATTGTACTGTAGGCCAAAAACTCCGAGTGAAGCTCGGTAGCCCAGGTACTTATTAATAATGAAATATTAATAATAATTTTATCATTAGTTTCTTCAAACAAATTAGCTATTATAAAAGGTATCCCTCTTAGATGGTCTCCATTATCTTAATTATAATTAAAGTAAATTTAACACCAAGAATTCCACATGCAATAAAAACTTATTCGTGTAGGCACTTCAGAGGAGTTCCAACGATGCATTCCATAAAACTACCGTATAAGTATCAAAGCCATTTTATTAACATTGTATACGTTCCTTTTATACTACAATTACGTATGTTACTTTTACGAGTAAAGTAATAAAGGTATAAAAAGTAACACAGCCTTTACACCTACAGAAAGGTAATGCGTGCTACTAGAAAACTTATTAGCTTAGTTTTTGTTAGCATTATTAAAGTTTTAAGTGTATTCTACGGATTAGTATGAGGCTTATAATGACGGGCTTCAAATTTCAAGTGTAACATGATTTGTGTGAAGTGACCGTAGGAGTTTATGAGAGTTTATGAGAGTTCAAGCATGTTTTAGACAAATTTAATGTTTGGCTGGCGTAGCATGATAACGCTTTACAGAACTGGAAAATGACTTGTGTCAAAGTGTTGTGAAAATGACTATTAGTCAGATCATATTATATAATATAAGTTGACCAATCGCATATGTGCTGCCTCTAGAAGCCTTTGTCTTTAAAGCACTCAGTAAAATTTTATCCATCATTTTTACATAATATATATAAGCAGTCACATGAAACATGGGGTAGCCGAATAAAATAAGCTAACACTTTTGAAATAGATATCTATTGACAAGTAAAAGCGAATTTCTGTAGACAATATTAACTAAAATCTACAAGACATATAAAAGATTCCAAATAAACAAGTTAACTTACTTCGGGATCAATAACGAGTACTTCATTGGTTTTCTCCGTTACTCCAATGAAGGAGTAAATAATGTGAGTGCACATATCCACCGGTATGTCTTCGATGCCATATCTACCGATGCCCGGCCGGTACACCGCCCAATTGCTGAAGTAGCATACTATACGCGCTTTGCTGTCCGCTAATAAAAAAAAATGTTTTATTGATTAATATGTTATAATACCTCATTTGTGCAAAAGTCATCCCACCGGAGTATGAGAGTGACAGGAATAAAGAGTGCACGTTGTGTTTGCGCGTACACTTGTGCACTATAATATCTCCTGCGCAGTTGGCTACTCTCAATGAGATTGGCCGCCGTGGCCGAAATCGGCTAGGAGAACATCATTTTTGTGCAAAAGATATCATAGGGCTATCATATGTGTGCAAATACAAACTCTTTTAATTGTTTTAGTTAACTAAAGATTTAATAGGAAATGTAAAGCGGGCTTTAGCGCTAAGTGATAAAGCTCCATTAACTAATGTGGAAAAAAACCCTACTCTCTCACTATAAATTGACACAGTACGACGAAATCCAGTGGAGGATCGACTAATTTTAATTATTTTCAATGATCAGAAATGAAACAAAAATAAATTTGCAATTGCATTCCATGCAGGGTTTTTGTCGAAAGGGCAATAACTATTTTTGTCAATCTAACCCAAAATTCAACAATTTGCCGTATATACTGAAAGTAAGGAGACTTTTAGTACTAAAATAAGATATTTTTTCCTTAATTAGGGAGTCGAAACCATGAGCTCCTTACGCTACAATAGTTTGATTGATTAATGGAAGCTCAAATAAAGAGTAGCTTTGTGCGCTGTAAAATTTGCTATTCACCCAGTTAAAACGTTATATAAATATCCATTACAGTATCATTTTGGGCTCATATATGATTTATATATTTAAAGCGTTAAATTTAAGCAATTTTAAATATAACTACTGACGTTTCGAATGCTTTGTAAAGCAATCATAGAGTCACGGGAGAGACAAAGATTTAGACGTATCAAAGGCATTATATAGTTGTTACAGACAGCCTGCCCACGAAATTATAAAATAAGTTCATTTTCACAATCCGCAAAAAAATCTGAAAGATAGTTTTATTTAAAATGTCAAATATTCGCGTAAATCGAAGAAAGTATTTAATAAACTTACATTTAACGCACGTAAATTCAAATTACAATAATTTGTAAAAAGCTCGACGTTATTGAAATTTTATAACTGTACAAGTAGTTTTAAGGAACTGCCTCTTAAATGGTACTGGATGATAATAATTGCATGGAGCTTTTATACGATGAGAATATTTGACATTGGCATAATACTTGTGTTCTACATGCACGTTTTGAAGCCATTGGAAAGAAAGCCATAAGGAAATTGAATTAAATTGATGATAAAATATTTCAGCATAGTCCAGATTATAAAATTAACAAATCAAGTGTCTAATTAATTAGTATAACATTTCTTACAAAAAATTGTAACATTTTTAGTTGTCTTGTACGCTGTAACTAACTTAGATAATTAAGTGGTGTTTAAGCTTAATTCAATTGAAGCACAAAATAAATTTCTAAGTATATAAATAATAGACGGCAGTGGTATCCCAATGGTAAAGCGCTCGTTTGAGAAACAGAGTGAAACGGGTTCAAATCCCGGTTTCGCACCTCTGATGTTTCATGTGCGAATCATTTCCAACATGATTATCACTTGTCTTACGGTGAAGGAAAACATTGTGAGGAAACCTGTATGTCTGAGAAAGCCTAGCAAGTTTTCGAAAGGCATGTGAAGTTTGCCAACCCGCACTTGGCCAGCGTGGTGGACTATGGCCTGATCCCATTACAATAAACAATAGAAATAATTCTTAGAAATAAATAAATATTTAACTTACATTTTACTGATACAAATGCAGCCAGGACGGCCAACGTGCATAGTATTACTCGCATTCTGACCTGCAAAAATATTTTATGTTTTAATATTATAATTTAAGGATAGTTGTATTAGTTTGATTTATACATTTTACAGATTAATATGCAATGAACGAATTATTATAGGGGACACAAAGCCATTGCATTTCAAGTTGTCCCTATATTTATTTCTATTACAAATTTAGAATCATACCTACATAAAAAAAAGAAAGTCTTTATGTTTATAAAGACTCTCTTCTTTTAACATTATATATATATATATATATATATATATATATATATATATATATATATATATATATATATATGAGTAAATGAATGAGTTTGCATTATATATATATATATATATATATATATATATATATATATATAATATATATAATAGTAATAATATATATATATATATATATATATATAATATATATATATATATAATGAATGAGTTTGCATGACACTTTTTACTATTTTAATGGTTCATAGATTTCAGTGAAATTCCGAAAATATTAAATAGCTCACAAACCTGTAGGTATTATCGAAATACAATCTTTTATACCAGCAGAGTCGAAAATTACAATTACAGGGCATGACTAATATAGCTACTTCTAATACTATAACCAGCAAATACCTACTTTCTAAAAGCTTACATAAACCTTTCAATTAAAATAGCGAGGCACATCCCTTAGCCTTTCACTTCTAAAAAACTTCGGTACATTAACTCAATACTTTTAGGTTTTCCGGTAATTAATCAAGTCAACGGAATTTAGGTAGGCTTTAATTTTGCCAGATTCTTTATTTTGTGTTTATCGTAGCTGATTATTCGGCATTTTTCTTTCAAACTGTTAAAGTTTTGTATTTTTTATACATTTTGAATTGACTATTTAGGGATTTATTTTATACTACCGATTTACACTCACTTCGTTCGAGTGCTTCCCTAGGTACGTTTTTTTTGAGTGGAACCTAAATACTTTTTCTAGAATTAAAGTTACTCCTATTAACATCGGCTATGTGCGAGTGAAAGTCCCCTCAAAATTTATCTAAATTTTCATAGTTTAGTTAAAAAATCAAGATATCAAAAATTTAAAACAATGCCATATATGGTCATTTTAATACACTATAAATAAGTACTCAAGTAGTAGAATTAGAAATAACAAATCTAGACACGTTTAAAAGCCAAAAGCTAAACAATTGATTTTTTTAATCTAAGCTATAAGGAAATCAAGTCATGTGTAAAACAACTAAGTATTTAGTCTAGTACAACGAGGTCATCTCGTTAACGGTATGCTTATTCACTCCACATCTGTCCACCTACTGACCTGCTCTTTGAGTATTGTATTAATAACATCCTAAAACGACTCATCATGTAAGTGACTTGTAGAGTTGTCTAACGTCTTATCAAGGGGCATAAACAAAATGTCATTCTATAATAATCGTCGAAAGGTAGAAATATTAAAAACTAGCGGCTCACTCTTGCTTCGCTCGGGTTCGCCTCTAGAAAAACAAAAAACAAACCTATCCCACGGGAACTGTGCATTTTTCCAGGATAAAAAGTAACTTATGTGTTGTTTCAGACTATAATCTATCTCTGTGCCAAATTTCACCCAGATTTGTTAAGCCATTCTGGCGTGAAAGAGTAACAAACATCCATACTCACAAACTTTCACATTCATAATATTAGTAGGTATAGATGATATTGATTTTTGAAGTGAAACTTCTTTATGCGTGCCATGTGAGGGGAAAAAAGGATTGGCATTACGTTTTGTAACGGAAATGGTAAGTTACGGAAGTAAATAAATAGTCAATTAAAAAATATTTAAACAATTATATGGATATTTCAAAGAATAAATTAAATAAAACAAGATATTTATAAAAAAATACTTGCTTCATTTATTTTTAAATGAGCGATGGAATCGTATCAAATGAATATTGTTAAAAATTATTTACTTGAAATATTTTTTTATACTTTATATATATATTTTTCACTAAAATTTGCATCCCTGTATCCCATTCATTTTATTGGAGTATATATAATTTATTGAATCGTTACATTTGATTGAAAATTAATTACCATCTGTTCTATGTGAATAATAAAATATTGTTTTCCTTTTTTAATCGATTTTTTTTTGTGTCTCTCCTATCCTAATTATTTTAAACATAAATTGGATTTCATAAAAAGTACCGATAACGTGTACACATTGATACGCACTCTTTCATTTGCTTTTATTAAAATTTTATTGAGATATTTATTCGTTATGTCATAAATCACAAAGTGCTATTTCCATATATTTTTTTCAATATTTTTATAACTCAACAACTGCAGGATGACATCTTGTTAACTCACTAACTCTCGTAACTAAGCCTCAACAATAAACTGATAATATACTTAGATGATAATGATAGATATACTTAGCATATGTACAAAATTCCATAATTTATTAAAATATAGTAATATACAATACACACACAGACACAAATCATTCGAATATTATCGTTATATGAATTTTCACCAAACTAATTTAGATATAAATCAAATATTTGTATGTGAAAATGTTTGTTTTTAGGATTATATTTTTCACAAAGCAATTTCGCGAGTGAAATGACTTGAATGGTTAATTTTAAATCTTACGGTTGAAACATTTGTTGTTTGGTAAAAATAGTTGTTTTAATTAAATATAGTAAATTTAATTCAGTATTTTAACTATTCGACCAATAACTATTACCATACGATTTCACACAATTAATAAATTATAGCCTTAACATATTGTAAACGCTGGTTAAATACCAATACACTTAATGTTTACAATCAGTAAGTTATGTATTGTTAAATTATTTAAAATGATTGACTGAATTTGTACTGATTATGCTATTGTGCTCTGTTTCTCTTCAAAATTTTTTTTTTATATCTAATATATTTAATTAAAAAACAAATCTATGTAAATTTATGTAGAGATCAACAATTATAATAATAACCTATAATTTATAAGTGATAATTTTTAGAATCATTTTTAAGATATTTAAAATCTGTATAGGTTATAAAAATTCTTTTATATTCGTGTACTCTATCAACAACTTATTGTCGATAATTATTAGATTTGGTCCTGCTCTTTACAATTATTATTTATTTCTTTTTACTTACCATATATCATTTTGGTTAACCTAAAATAAATAATCTAATAAAATACCGAAAATTCCTTTATAGAATAAATTACGAATAAAACATACATATATAAATATCTGGCATATAATAACCATTCAGCTTATTTTAACTGGAAACTGTGTGACAATACAAAAAAAGAATACCAAAAAAAAATACTTATTCTCATTCCCTTCAGATATTTATTGTTTATTTAAAAAAAAAGAGATTCCGACGAATTACGAACCTCTTCCTTTTTGAAATTCGGTAAAAATACAATCTATCTAAAGAGTAAAACACGAGTTAATCACTTATCAAGAACCAAACAGATTTAGGGATAAATCGGATATAAATTCAAAGTAACTAAATTGTGCGTCGTAAGCAAAAATGTTAATGTCGGGGAAACAAACCGGTTGAACATCAGTAGAATTTAAAGCATTAAATTCAATCAACAATGCAAATGTATTCAAATAAATCTTGACTCACTACGAATGTTTATCTCAACCAGTCACAAAATCACCCCGTTATAAAATGTATAATTTATTCTATTTATTTTCCTAGTACCTACTTCTGTATGAAATAGAGTGGTGTATATGTTTAATGTGTTTATCTACGAGGTCCAGACTCTAATGATTTTTATTTCTTGTTTTATTAAAAACTCTAGTTTTACCGTATTCAAAAAGGGGAAGTACGCGCATTGTATGTATTAAATTAAATTGACTTTCTTCTTAATGGTTTTAAATGCAATAAATAAATGTCTCTCATTAACTTAGTAGCTCTAATACATAAAGGTAAAATGCCGAAGTTAATTTTAAAAGCACTTGTGTTCAAATGAATCATGCTCAGATTGTTGTCAAAACTTTGTATGAAGTATTATAATAATATACTTATAGTAATACTAGCGATTTACCCTCGCTCCGCTCGGGTTCGTCCCTAGGGTGGACCACCCTTATCACTTAGAGGTATGAAAAATAGTTTACGTCCTATTCTCAGACCTACTGAATATACACACAAAATTTCATAAGAATCGGTCAAGCCATTTCGAAGGGGTAAAGCCGTTTCGGAGGAGTACGGTAACTAACATTGTGACATGGAAATTTTATATATTAGAGATTACATATACGCTCTTAGATGTACACCAAGTTATTTGTAATAGGGACATTTTATACAACTTTTGTAAATATTCACTTAAACATTCGTATGAAATATTTTACTATACTAAATACAAAGCGTAAAGTTCCATCAAACTAATACAAATTAATCGCTATCTCTTTATTGCGAAAATATAATAAAGTTTTACCTTTCACAGTTTGTTTGAAAATATCTTATTATTCATAGTCCTATAATAACGAAGGCAAATGGGAATACTTCCAGTATTGAAAACCTCAACGCTTTGACAGAGGCACTGCCTGCGGTTTTATTTCTCTATTGAAACTGCAAAGGAGTCGTCGGTATGACAATTTTATATTTATATTGAATGTTCTATTAATTATTCTTTACGTTTAATAAAATATTGTTATTTTTATTGAATTTATTTTAAAGTTAGACACAAATTGAAAAAATATTTATTTAAATACGACATAAATCAACAAGTGTAATTTAATTAATAAATACGCTTTTTAGCCAGTTAGTGTAGAGAAAAAATCTTTATATTTTCAACACTTAACAGTTCAAGTAAATTTTCTTGAAAATGGCATTTCTAATAAAATTTAAATCACTAATTACGAACGCTACATCAAAACGTTAAAATATTTTTTAACAAAAGTAAAGGTTGTATATAAAACGTGTGTGTGTACTTATGTACGCACTTAAGAATTTATACTTCTTTGGCGTAATAGAACAATATATAATAGCTAAAGGTTTCATCCCGTATGTAAAAGGAATGCAGCTAACTTCATCATGTCGCTTTCAGGCTTCAGCTAACTTCATCATGTCGCTGTATGTCGGTGTTCGCGCGCATCGTAAAAATTTTACTCTCATAATTTTTTCCACACGTGCCAAAAGAAATATAACCTCAAAAATGTTCATATTTTTTTATAAATTACTACGCTATAGCTAACTTGATTATTGTGCTTTTTGAATATAAATTTACAATTTACGATCTTTTAGTGCGAAATAATACTATTACGAATGTACAGTACAATAATAAGATTTCATCAAACATATTTGTTAGGTCATTGTCATTGTCAACAGTCACCCATTTCTATAAGGATACAGTAGAATATTAAATACAATAGAAATGTGTTTATTTATTGAAGAATATAAAAAAGCTCTAAAACGGTAAAAAAAAGCTCTAAAGCTCTAAAACGGCGTAATATTAATTAAATTTTAATTACCAATATGATCTCTACACTGATTATTATAATCATAATAAATTGAAGGCTGATCTTATAAGCTACTATACATATTATTGTACGGTTTTCACCAACAGACAAACATATATATGATGTATTTTATAAGCATTTAAAAAAAACTGACTGTATAATGATATACGTTCCCTTCTGGGAGATTCCGTAATATTGTGTGAAGATCATGTAGACTTCACTAGTTTAAATCTAAATTTTACTATATAATTATTATTATGAATAATATTCCTGTGGCAAGCAGTCTAGCAAGTACTAATGCAATATATCATAATTGCACACCCTATGTACGCTTTCAAGGTTCGTATTGTTATGGAAGGAGCATGGAGTGAATAACAATCAGATGTGAGTTCAACTGTCGATATCCTTTGTTTCTGAGGTCGCTGCTCGAAAGTAAAATCTTTGTTACCATATATACAGACCTACAGATAGATTTTATATATTATAAAAATACATAAACATTTCTTATAATTTTAAATGAGCAATTATTATATATTTAATTGTTTTTCGTGTATATCGGAAACGGCTCTATTTGGATCAAATTTTGTGTTTAAAGTTGTTCTTTTTAAATTTATTTATTTAAGTTTCTTTTTTTAAAAACGCAATTTTTTTGTCTTCCCCAAAAAATACCTTGCGAAGCTCGGTCGCCCAGGTAATACATTACGAGTATATATGTAAATAGAGCAGCATGTCGGTGTCAGTCTACTCCTGTTTTTCTCTGATTTTAAGTAACAAAACTATAAAGCAATAGTTAGTTAGTTATTTATACAATATAGTAAGGTATAGCCGCTAAACAAATTTGCGTGTAAGGTAAAATTATAATGAATTTTCAGCGGTGTCGCATTACTTAACTAATGTTCACGATTAATAATACCGACGCGAGGGCGCACCACGTAACTACACGTACACTAGAAGTATGTATAGGGGTTAAATTTTACATTTTAATCTATACCTATATATATAATAAAATTGTAACTAAGTCGAATCTGTACATTAAATATTTATTGGAAAATCTAATTGAAATAGACATTATTATCGATACAGAGGCCGAATCTATAGTTTTTAGAATTTTTGTCTGTCTGTCTGCCTGTCTGTTACCGCATCACGAGAAAACCACTGGACAGATTTTGATGAAATTTGTTATGATGATTTTGGTTATCCGAGTCATCATATAGGATACTTTTTACCGCGGAAAAATATCTCATTTCTGAGAAAAATACAAAAACTGCAATGTAAGAATATACTAATATGTAAGACCTAAGAATTTGGTTTTTGGTCATCTGAACGCGGGCGGAGCCGCGGGCAAGGCTAGTTATATATAACAACTATTTTTTGATGCATAAAATCTTTCACTTAGAGTTAACTTTTATAAGTTCTATTAAATCAAATCGAAATTAAATCTATTTTAGGCATCCTGACAGCTGTATTAATTTATTTAAAAAAAGTAAATGAAAAGTATAATTATAGCTATTTCGTTAAATAACCTCGGAAATATTTATTGAAATAAGTAGTCATTAAAATTAAAAAAAAATGTTATTTTATAGGAAATATATAATGTTGAGTAAAATAACGTACAATTTTCAGTTTACAATTTTGAATGTTCAAATTTGTAATGCGTAAAGAATAAAAAATTGTTAAGTTTAATAAAATAAATCAAAGGAAGTTTATATAGAGATAATTTAATAAAAAAGAAGTTATATTTTTTTCATAAAATAAAATATTCTTTCGTACATCAATCAACAGAAAATGACATTTGCCATTTAATTTAAACCTGAGACTTTTCGTTTAAGTGGTTTAGACAAGATCTTCAATGTCCTTGATTTGGAATTGATTTATGCCTAAATATATATTATATTAAATGTCGCTTGTTAAAATATCAGACTTAAGTATTAATTAACTTAAATATTATATAGAATCACTATAGAATATCTACGCATCTGTAACCACTACTGTTCGATTATGCGTACTTATACTACAGGTACTAAAGTAAAATGATAATGAATAATAAAAAAAGTAATAAAAAAATCAAAAAAATGACTATGAAGATTAATTTATACTACTAAAATTTAATTATATTATATTATAATAATAACTATATACCAATATATATAAAATATTTTCAGTCAGTAAAATTTTAAATTACGAAAATAAAAGCTGATAGAATAAGTCATCGACTTATATTTATGTATGTATTTAAAAAGTAGTCCGAATAGAATTTTTTAGAATGTCATATGTTTATTTATATATGAAGCAAATAAATATTGATAAACATTTAAAATTTTAATTTTAACACATTTGGAATTTCACTAAAAGTTATTTAAATTTATTTTGAATGTAAATATTATCAATAAAAAGCACTTTCACATGCATTTCGTATCACAACATTTATGACTTTATCACGTGTGGTGTATTCGAGTGTTGTGTGTATCGTTTGATACTCACGGCTGTCTGCGCGGCGTCGTGCGTGCGATTGCGCCGGTTCCGAGTTGCACGTCGTTTTTATGCGCAGGCGCATATCTGACGTCGAAGCAAAGGGTGTGTGATTTTTTTAAGAAAAAAAAATCAATATATATTACTTAGGTAATTATTTACAATTTTTAGTTTTATTTTGGTTTTTGGTTTTCATTAAAAGTACTTTCTTCTATGAAAATTCTTACGTGAACAAAGAAAGGTATCTTACGCTAGGACATTACGGAATCGCCCTCAAATCAACTAACTGTAACTGGAACACTTCCCTTATCTTATCTATGAGAAGAACTTAGTAAAACCACATAAGTAGTAGGTACTTCACATAACAATAGCAATAAGTGCATTATTATTATATCGCATGTGAAATCCTTTTATATCAATTGAATTTATCATTACATATATCTTTCAGACCGATGAGGAAACCAATAAGTAATTGAAATTTTCATATTTTGATTATGACTTCATTCGATGAGTTTGAAAATATATATATTTAATTCGAAATGCTATTTTTTTATTATTAGATTAATTTGTAAGTGTCTGCCTGTCTTTATCAACGGTTCGACTGATTTGTCTATATTTTAAATGATAGAACCTATTAGTCCAAGTAAAGTTTTTAGAAAGAATATTGGAGGTTTCAAAAAAATCAATAAATACTGATAGTGCTTATTTGTACAGGATCTCTACAAAATTCGAGTTTTCTAGCCCCAATGCAGATCCCATATAAATAAGAAAAAAATGTATATAACTAATAATGGAATAGTTGCTTCCGATACGACTTTGATGAAATCAATCTGAAACCTATATAGTTAAGCTTTTTAAATTTCAATAAAAAAGAAGAAAATTGTAGTTCAAATTATAAAACGTAATTTTAGAAATCTATAAATTAATTTGTTAAAAAAAAATATTTTCAAAACATCAGAAGATAATTAATGAAATATTATATTTACAAAAACATAATAACAATTTTTATCATCCTGTATTCAAATGATTGATAAAGGTACGGAGACAATCCCGAAAACTGCATGTCTTTCATCTGGTCAACTAACGGTTCGCAAACCTGTATGCGTGTATTAACGCTTCTTTACACCCGCGCCAATATCTTAGTACTCGTAGGTACTTCATTTTATTAACTCGATTTTTGTTTCATAAGCATGTATAGTTTTTACTATAACTAGCTCTGCATAACATATTATGCAAGAATTTTAAGTACTTTATCAAAATTATTTTGAAAGTTTTGTTTTATATTTTTCGTAATTTCATTGTGTGCTTTTTATTATTGTTTAAGCAAATTCAGTAGTTATTGAAATTATATCTAGCTTTAAACCTTAATTTTAAATATCATCTATACATATAATAAAATTCTAACTAAGCCGAATCTGTACATTAAATATTTTTTGGAAAATCTTATTGAAATAGACATTATTATCGATACAGAGTCCGAATCTATAGTTTTTAGAATTTTTGTCTGTCTGTCTGTCTTTCTGTCTGTCTGTTACCGCATCACAGCAAAACTACTGGAGGGATTTTTATGAAATTTAGCATGGGCATAGCTGGTTATCCGGGTCAACATATATGATACTTTTTACCGCAGGAAAATATCTCATTTCTGAGAAAAAATACAAAAACTGGTTAGAATAAAACCATGATAATACTATATATATTATAGCAAGGTAACATACTAAATAAAGCAAAAACTATTAAAAATAGCTTATCTTGAAAAAAAATAACGATAGCGCTATTTTAGTTGGTTTTTGGTCATCTGAACGCGGGCGGAGCCGCGGGCAATGCTAGTAGTAAATAAATTAAGAAAGCACACAATTGTGCACGATAATGCACGAGATGCACAGATAGGTACTGAATGAAGACCTAATTGACTGAAGGTGATTCACCGCAAGGAATAACGGCCAGGAAGAAAATTTTAAATTATATGTAATTTACTCGTAGTCACCAAAGTCGTGTCCCGCGCAGGTCTAAACATACATTTTATGCACTAATATTTGAGTCAATTTTAGTATATTATAAATACATGATAGTCATAAAACATGTAGATTAGTTAATTATAAGTGACCGTTTGATTTTTTTGTAACTCTTCGACTTTCAACTTTACTTTTCTATTTAAAAATTTCTATCGAACGAATTTCGCCTAATGCTGACCGCATTAAAACGTTGATTCCGTAGCTTCGAAGAGCTTAATGGACAAACAGACGTATGAATTTGTTATAAAGTAATAAATAGAAATATACATAGGACTAGTTTCGGACCGCAATTCCGTTTGAATTATACATAAATGTACATTGATATAAAATTACCGAATTAGGATAGCTGTGCAGCATAAAGATAAAAAAATCAATTCAGTACTTTTACGATTTAGCTACAGCAAACAAAACAAACGTTTTTTTTATAATAGTGCATAAATTAAATATTTTTTTATTTAATTTTTAAATTAAATAATTAATGCATATTTATATTTTAATAAATGAGGAAAATTAGAAAAAAGCAACATGATATCTTATATTACTACGACATTTGCATACAACAGTTAGATAAATAATATAGGTGCCTCCTTGATTCACCTGCCTCAAAAATCACCTTATATTGGCGTTGATCTCATTTCACACAGTTTGCATGGTTGGTGACTTTTATGACTACTCCACTTTGCGTTTTTGCGTATACGGGTATTATGTAGCTCATAACCTTTCGATATGAACGATCTGACTCAAAAAGATTTTTTTGAAATTATATTAGTAGTTCCCGAGATTAAAACGTTTACATATTAAGTTTTAAGGTCTACAATATTAATGTAGAATTAATTTCATTTTCAATTGCCTCAAATATCTAGTGGCTAGCATGTATGGCTACAGATCCGGAGATTATCGGTTTGAGTCCTGGGTCTAGCCAAGTGTAGTTATTTAGTTTTTTTATTAAGAAATTCTCGGTAACAGCCCGGAGTTGGGAAGCTGACGGTGTTTCTCCATGGAAGAGCACGTAAAGCTGTCAGTCCTGTCCTCTCACCAGTCGTACCGAATTATCATCCCATCGGATTTGGAGAGTGGCAGGACTATTCCTCTCATTCTCATAAAGGCACTTGTGCTTATGCGTACCCTTGGGCACTATAAGCCAAAAACCAACGTAGTTCTTTTAATTTTATTAAGGGTGTACTTTGGGTCTGTAGTAAAGTATAAAACTATATAATTAGCTTTGAAAATCTATTATTAAGTTAATATGTATACTAATATGATAATTTATTACATTTTTAGTGTACATTAAAAAGCTGTGAATTTCTAGATATGAGGCTAAAAGAGTATTAAATGCTTAATGCTAATTTTATTGTTTACTTTATGCGAGAGAAAACACCGTGCCTAGAATAAAACAAGTCTGATGACCCAGTGGTGGCGTCTGCGATAATTATTATTATTGAACTCGTTATCGTGATTTATGTTGCCATTTTACGTACTATTTGATTTAAAAAGTAGATAAACATCGTTAATTTGATTATTTAAATTTCCCATTGTTTCTTTTTTTACTTTGGCTATATAATTAAGTAGCTCTCAATACTGACTCTATATATATATATATATATATATATATATATATATATATATATATATATATATACGTATATATATATATATATATATATATATATATATATATATATATATACGTATATATATATATATATATATATATATATATATATATACATATATATATATATATATATATATATATATATATATATATATATATATATATATATATATCATAATATTAAGACTAATATCCTGCACGAATCATTTAGTATGATGTGATAAAAAGTTACTTTTCATTTTTTTAATAAATTCATGACAAATTAGTGAAGATAGATTTTAACAAGAATGCTTTACAATCTACTGTCACACAAATATGTATTTGATGTACTCGTACTGCCTAGCGTATGGCACTCTCCATCCCTTAGAAATTGTTTTTTAAGTGATCAATATATTGTTCTGTTGCCATGTAAGAGAAATAGAAACCAATAAATACATTATTTACCATTAATTCTGTGCTTTACCAGAAATATCAGACAATCGAAGCTTTATATCAGACTAGCGACTCACCCTCGCTTCGCTCGGGTTCGTCCCTGCGTTTTAATGTTTAGTATAGATTTCTCAGAAGATATTTTCCCCCTGTAAAAAGTATCCTATACGTTGACCCGGATATCCAACTATCATCATATTAAATTTCATCAAAATCTGTCCAGTGGTTTTCTCGTGATGCGGTAACAGACAGACAGACAAAAATTCTAAAAACTATAGATTCGGCATTTGCATCGATAATAATGACTATTTCAATAAGATTTTTCAAAAAAAAACTTAATGTACAGATTCGAATCACTTAGAATTTTATTATATGTATAGATAAATAACTGAGTGAGAGCTCAAGGTAATTTTTTTTTATTATTTTCTAATAAATATATGTGATGATAAATATAAATGATACTTACGTCCACTTACTTTATCTCTCTCCCTTATTTAAAAAAAAAACAATACGCTTGCGGAGCTTGGTTGTTTGTTTACAAATAATAATATGTAAAATAAAAACATTTAACATACAATCTGGAATACCATTACACAACAATTTACAAAACAATTTCTACGTATCTTAGAATTTATTTCAGACACAAAGAAATTAGTTCAATGAAATATGTTTTTCTTAATTTAATTATATTCGTATGTGGGAAGTAAAAATTTCCATAATTAGGGTCTTTTCCAAGTTTTCAAAGGTCATATAATAAATGTAATGTATTTTTATATAATTATAAAAATGATGAAGAGAAAACATTTTTATTTTCATTTGAATTCAGTTATTTTATTGCTTGTTTCAAAATAATAAAATGCTTTTTTAGGAGATGTCGGCAAATCCGAAGGGCGTAAGAGTTGTTTTTAATCTGTATGTATGTACGTACGTCCGATCCTATTTTGCTGCTACTAAACGGCTAAACAGATTTTGATGATTCCCACGTCGTTAGATTAGTCTTGATAACACGAGTGTCATAGGGTACCT